AAAAGAGATTGTTTGTATAACGATCCCTCACACCTATTTAATACTCACTCAAGTTTTCTATCACACGCGCCCGTTGGGTCGGGTGTAGCCAAAGGAACGTACCCCCTATTGAGATTGAGTTTTTTTTTTTTCGATTAAGGACACCGCAGCCAAGCAAACAGGGAAGAGGAAGGATGGCAGGCAGGAAGTGAAAGGGATTTTAACATTACGATCATCCGGGCTCAGGGAAGAATCTAGCCATCTATGTATGAATGAACAGATTCCACGAGCTCTATCGATATAGAAAACACTTTCGTGGGCCAGGGGGTCAGTGGGTAGCTACTGATTCCATTGGACTGAAAGGGATTGCCTGGACATCTTGCTGTGATGGAGCCATGGGAAATTGCCGACCAAGAGATAAGCCGAGCGGGTGAATGCGTAAACGAATCCCAGTGCCCGTGCTTGCTTTGAGAATGCCTCAGTCCCACTTGGAGATTGAAATCTTGAGGACCATGCGCCTAAGAGAACCTTTTTCCCCTGAGACTTCAAAAGCTACTTCTCTGCCTCTTCGCTTTGATCTTAATCTAGTACTTAACCCTTACTTGTCTTTCCCACTCGAAACAGTTCCTTCAGCTCTATCTATCTTGAGTCGCAACAGGCAGAACCATTTATTTTATCGTTCTAAAAAGAAGTCTTGCAGACTCACGTAAACCACCTGCCTTGAATCGCTGCCACCTTCAGTAAGAAATAGAAGAGTAAGGATTTGGCTTAGCGGTTAATAAAGCAAAAACGAGGTTAATGAAAAATGAAAGAGAAGAGGAACTTGTACCGAAGAACAGGCCGGATTGAGTAGAAGAACGAAAGGTCTTTAACTGAGAGAGGACTTTTTAATCCACTGCGGCAGCTTCCATCGACCTTCCACTGGACTTGAAAACGGCCCACTTCGCTGACTGGAGGCCCCTCACTTTCTGCGACAGCTAAAAAGGGGCATTACTTGACATTCTTTTTTTAAGTTAAAAAAGTCGCAGAGCAGAAAAGTCGGTCTGCTGGTAGAAAGAGGAGCCTATTAATCATAAGAAATCATAATCGATGGTAAAGAAAGACTAAAATGCCTAGATTTCAGAAGGAGAGATAGGGGAATCACTAACACTGGCCATACCTATTTCTTGATGGAACCGCGCCCCAGGTTTGTATATAAATACATTTCTTCTACTGGAGATTCTACTTGACCATTTCCCCAGGTACTGATTCCCTGAAGATTGAGAGAACTTAGCCTCCACAGGTGAATGGCTGACACCAGATTCTTAGCTGATTTGGGAAACTAGATTTGTCTCCCGAAGAACTCTTCTTTTGGTAAGAAGCCGGTTGAGACCATTTTCAACAGAACAAATCAATCTGAATTGACGGCCGACCTTAGGCTTGAAAGCCCTACTCCTACTTCCGTTTAATAACGCAATGGTACGTTCAGACTCCCACTTTGAACAGGAAATTTTGGCGAAAAGAATTGCGTTCGCCCGGCTTTTCCACCTCAAGATAAGGCTAAGGAAGTCGATCTAGATCTGATGGTGCCTAAAGAAGATCAAAGAAATATTTTGGGCAATGGCCCTCCGATATCATTTTTATGGCTATACGAGCATAAACAATAACCATTTAGAATACCTGCAGGTGAGGAGAAACTGGTTTGATTCATTTTCCACGTAAGGCTTACCTTGTGAGCTCTATTTCCCTCCCGTAATAGAACTTTCCCACAGAAAGCAGCTCGCACTGCGGTAAATAGACTTGAACATGGATTCTTTTCCCATCGACTGACCCTTTCACAGGGAACCAGGACAAGGACCCGGACGACTAGGCGAAGCGGGAACTACTCTTTTTCGTTTTGGATTTGAGTAGGTTAAGAAGGGAGCAACATGAACAATCGGACCAAGCCAACTAAAAAGCCACAAGCTAACCAGGTCTTGGATCCTTTGTTAGCTCTACGATTAGGGGAGTAACGTCACTTCCCTTCTCTTTGAGGAGGCACTCGTCGTATGTTGAGTTTGACTATACTATGGCGTAAAAGAGTCGTTCTTTTCACTATAGGCATCGGCACAGGCCCACCAACACAAGCAGAGGGAAAGAAGCATCTATAACCATTTAGGATAGAATTGCTGCGCCCACTGAATAGTAAAGAGTCTTTAATTAGCCTCTGGTTAAGCCGCTATTAACGTTAAGGATACGCAAAAGCTTCTCTCGCTTTTCCGCCAGAAAGCAAGGCAGCAGAATATGGAGCAGGCCATGAATAAGTGGAATTTTAGAATACCCTATATTAAGCAATAGGAAGAACCTTTCACAGAGCCAAAAGGCCAGAACCGTCCACGCAGCCACCACCGTGTCTACTCGAATGACTCTTTTCATACAGTATGCAGAGTGTCATTGCCCTTCAGCTCCAGCTACTAAGCCAACCAAGAGAACCAGTTCATATAACAATATTCGCAATCCGTCCTTCCTGCTCTAGTTCAAGAACCTATCCTGGTTGGATGAAGGCCCAAGGCGACGGAGCTACAGCAACTAGAGCGGCGGAAAGCCTTCGCTGATGAGCCGGGTGAAGAGATCAAGTCGAAAAGGCACTTCGCTGACGCGGGTGAGGAGCCGTAGAACGAGTCAATAGTAGGGTGGCCAGGCGTGGGAAGCAGACACACCGGATAGCACCTGGGAACTAGACTGGAGGAACTACTGAGGAATATCCTACCTGGCACGATCAAGTTTTTTTTTTTTTTTTTTTTTTTCAATAAGCTTAGGATATATTGCATGGAGTTAGAAATAACAAATTAAAAAATTAAAAAAAAAAAAAGCTTCATAGAAAGACCAAAGTTGAGTGAGGTTTCCCAGTTCGTCAGGAATTGGGCCTGATAACATGTTATCGTCAAGAATCCTGCACAGCCGCAATGTATATATATATATAAAATTACAATTATATTGCGCCGGAAAGAAAAGAAAAGAAAAGAAAAGAAAGGAGAAAAAAAGAAAGGAAAAGAAAGGAAAGGGCCTTACAGGTACTGTAGCAATGAGAGGTTACCAAATGCTGCAGGTATTTGCTGATTGAAGAAGTTGAAGCTCAGATCGCTATTGCAGGGAGTTTTTAAACAGCAATTACAAGGTAAATTACGTATGCCAACCCAAATGACTTTTAAAGTCCAAATTTTAAAGACTTATGGCTCAATAAAATTAGAGGTGTCAAAATGGGTTCGCGTCTGATTTGACACGAATCCGCCTACACGCGACACGATTAAAGTCAATATGAATACGATCCGTTTAATAATTGTATCAAATATTTAAATAAAAACACAATCTATTTATGACACGAATCCATTTAAACTCAATACTAATTCGTTTGATTTACAGTGAATCGTGTTCCATATCATAACTCATTTTGACACCCCTGAATAAAACATGAGTTGAATAAATACTCACAGTAGATTCAAATTTTGCAAATTTTCCAAGCCAGTGATTGGAAAGTAATTGTTTAAAAGACGCCTAATTTTGCACAATTCTCAACTCAATATAATTACACAGTAAAATTAAATGTGTACACATGCCTTGAAAAAAAGAAAAACGCATACACACGTTTTCTTTTAAAAAAGAAAAGAAAAAATGGATGCACTAATTACGCGTCTCTCATTCCCTATAAATAGAGGCAGCTGCAGCTCACAAAACACACAGCAGAAAGAAAGGAAAAAAAAATGTAGAAAGGGAGTCATCTAGTTTTAGGAAGGGTTTACTACAACTAGGAGAGAGAGAAAAATAGTGAGGAAATTATTTTTGCGTTGTTTTTGGAAAACACTTTGAGTGCCACTATTTTTGTAATAGTGGAAGAATTATTCAGAGTTAAGGGTAAACCACTTAAATTTCTATGTGTCATAATTTTGATTATCCCGCTGCGTAATTATTCTCATAATTTTATTGTCGAGGCCCTAATAAGTGGTATCAGAGATTTTGCGACAGTCAAAGCCCCATTCACCTTGGAAAGACTTCCTCCTTCCATTCATGATCAATACACATTGATATTAGGGATGTGTTGAAGATGAAGATGTTACAGCTTGAGAATATCCATACATAAGAAAATGGATCAGACATATTCTTTCAAAGGAGAAGTTCGAATACTGTCGATTAGCTGTAGGGATGATGATGGCTAATGTTTCTACTTAATGTGCAGGGGAGAATTGTTATGCGATGCCCACTTAAGTGGGATCCACATACTTTGAAAAAAAGAAAAACGTGCACACACTTTTCTCCTTTTCAAAGCATGTGGGTCCCACTTAAATGGCCACAACACAACATACCCTTATGTATATAGCAATATTAGCCTTTATAATCAGATAATATGCTAAGACATTCAAAGGATGCATGGCTGGCCTAGATTACAAGCGGAGTTTAGGCACCATGCAGGTGTCAAAGGCTACGAAGCCTTAGACCACATCAGTATCAGTTAGAAGAAGGTTATGATCTTTGCAGGTTGAAACAAGCAAAAGAAGGGATTTTGATCACCTCGGATCGATGCCAAAAAAAGGTGTTTCCAGCTGTACTTCATCACCGAGGGGAAGGAGATAATTAGCCCACAAACGTTCTAGGCGCGTGCTTTTGGAGCCAACGTCTTGAGCGGGCGATTGGTGTTGTCTCGAGCTTTCATCCTTGGGAAAGAGAGGTAGTTTGAATGTCACTGTCCAGTACGAGAGCTTTGATCCTGCATTAGTTCTGCTCGAGCCTGAGTTTCAACTCGTCAGCTACTTTGACAGATAGGGGTTGCAACGACCAGTGCTGTGGTCTTTCGCCCCGACATGCATGAGCTTTGACTCCTACCATTCCGGGCTCAAATGAACTAACCATCTTCTCTTTCTTGTTCCGCTCCCTCCACACCCGCATTCCATTCCTCCGCAACCATCTTCTCTTTCTTGTTCCGCTCCCTCCACACCCGCATTCCATTCCTCCGCCTTAGGCCTTGTAGTGTCTGCTGGTATGTAGCTGCCTGGCTCTCCTGGTCCCATCCCTCGTCAGAAGGAGCCATATACTCCACCCAAACCCTCTCCATCTCTATACATTTCTCACGATCCATCTATCCAAGAAGAGCTCCAGTATAAAGATCTTCATTCATGCGTAACCCAAGTGTATATCACCACTGATAAACACCAGACTAAGCGATATTGACTGGACTGGTAGCAATACCAAACCAAATACGACTGAGTAGTGGGGTCCTTGGAAATCGTAATGCCATAATGCCTTTCAAATCCTCATACATGACATTTGAGAAAAAAAATAATAAAACAATAATTTTTTTTAGAAAGCCTTTGTTTTTTTATCGGCTTGGTATTTAGGAGCGAAGCTAGATCCAAAATTAAAGGGGTCAAAGAAAAATTTTCAAAATTAAAAGGAGCCAAAATCAAAGAAAAAATCTTTTTGGACTATTTTATAGAGAAAATTAAAAAAAAAAAATGGAGTTTGGGGGGCCAGGCTCCCCTCAGTCCTCTCCCTCCGCCTGTGTTTGTATATAGAACCACCCACACGCTGGATGTAGACAAGTCTATAATTGACAATATATCTCAGAATTTGGAGATACATACATTTCAGTTATGTGGCAAGTGATGTTGCTCTTGTTATCCTTGAAAATACAATCACATCTTATTTCAGCACCAGGCTCCAGATTGCTGCTGTTTTGACAGTGTAAAGCATCGAAGTGAGATGCTGAAGGAAACCTGTTTATGAAAGTTCTAATGGCATCCACAGTCAAGAAAAAGAAAAATCTGGTTAAGCCAAGCATTACATCAAAGCAAACGGAACTTAATTAATTCAAATACAGAATAATGAAATGGTTAGCTAGCTAGGAGTAGAATATTATATGCATGCAAGTTTGGTTTCGATTCCTGAAAGAAATGAAAAAAGTTAAATGGAATTGAGAATTGTGCTTTTAGTTGCAGAAGTTTACACTCATAGCAAGGCAGAGTTTGATTTCCGTCACATTCTATTTCAGATTTTTCTGTAGAAAGCACACCATAAGAACAAATTACTACAGATGGGAGTTAAAAGAAAACAGAAATGGTTATTTAGCTAGTAGGAGCTAATTCTTGAAAAAAAAAATTGAAACTTGAAAATTGTGCTCATAGAAGTTTACCCATTTTACAATCAGGATTATACATAGGACATTGACAATTAGAGCTGTATCGGCCAGGACTTCAGACATGAGAATCTCCATAAACAATTTTCCGATGGAGAAGGAAAGTAAGGATGGGGATAAGTATAGCCATAACTGAAAGTTTCCTACTTTAACCAATTAACGCAATTCTACTTTAACTTAAATATTAATATTAATAATTTATTAAAGATAATTTTCAAACATGATGATTAAAGGTTGATAATTAGTCAACGAGTGCATGATTCACTGCATAAAAAAGATTAGGAGTTTTAATCATAATTGTATCCTTTTTTTTAAGAAATTTATCATGTAAGCAAAAAAAAAAAAAAAGCATTTAATTTTAAATATAAAATAAATAAAAGTGTGACTCATCAAGGCTTTTATTATAATTCAAAATTCAAAATTCTATGTACCCTTTGCATACCATTTCAACATACTATCTTGCTATGCAGGCCGTACAGTTAATGAAAGGGCTTATAATTTAATTGTTGAGTATATAACAAACATTAGCTGAACTAAATATCATTTAAAATTATAATTCATTTCCAAATCAGGTATTATCACAGTTTGATTCTACATTAAAATCGAACCAATCGAAATCAGGACTAAATTGTGGTCAATGGTTTTCAATTTTAAATCGTAACCAAAACTATATTTGCTTACAGTTGGCTTTGGAGTACATGCCTCACTGTGGGGTTCTAACCATTAATAGTCGTTCCAGCAGGCAACAACTTTTTTTTTCAATTTTTTTATGAAATTCCTAAATTACCCCTCCTAACAGTTATAAACGGCTACATAACGGCTAGTTTTAAGAGTATTTGTGGAAAATTGATTTTTTGAATTTATTATAAATACCTCATTCCATTTACAATTTCCTCACACAAAAAAAGCATTAAGGCTGCGAAGACCAATGCGCCAATTGCGGTACAATAAAGTTGTAATTCACTAGTTATTCCAGATGCTCGCCAAAGCTGAAAAAAGCCAGAGGTTATTTGTATTCCTCGGAAGCCTCCGCCCACATCTCCATTCAGGATTTCTTGGCCCACTATTGGCCAAACCACCTGAGCACTAGGTCCAATGTGAGTAGGATCACTCAGCTGGAAATAAATACCAGCTCAGCCAAAGAAAGATGATGGGAAGTTGAGCTTGGTCGAAATGAGCACTAAATACTTTTCAAGAAATCTCCTCCAAATCACTGGTATGGCTATCGAAATCGTGAGCATCAGCATGTAGGTTCCAGATCCAAGTGGTAGTATCAGGTCCCTTAGCTATTATTCTTGAGAAATGATCGGGGCTGGCCCATTCCTCGAAGGAAGTTTTGAAGGGATCCCTATCCACCAAAATTTTGACTTCTGGTTCTGGCGAACGAATAATCATTGAGTTCTCCTCTTTCCGAACAACACATATAAAGAGACCTTCCAACAGTCAAGTCAAGTATTAGTGAACCTATGAGAGATGCTTATAATATCTGAGATCTTCACTGACGAAGCCCCTCTCCGCCATTCATTTCTCTTAGCGGCGGGGAAGAAGCATCTGAAGTTTTTCTCTCGAGTCACTGGCCTTGGAAATCCAACTAACCGTTATCTCTCTCCGTCTTCAATCTCTCAAGGACCCTGACGAAAGCTAAAGCAAAGGCGAGTAAGCCAGCCTAAATCCGAGTCCATTGGCCATTGCGCCATTCTTAATTCGGTCTCTTCCGGGACCCACTCGCCCGAACCTAATTCCCAAGGCCTTTTCGCATAATAAAGAAAATGCATAAATGCAACTATAGTGTTAGTTTGGAATCGACATAGGCAGGCATTAAATTTAATATTAAAAGGTTGACTCTCCAGCTGGGAGAACATCATCACAGCCTTTCCTCCGGAGTAGATCGAGAAGGTCAAAGAAGAGCCACCCCGGCTCATCATGGAGAAAAGCTACCGCCTCTTTTCAATTGGCCATCTAACCATCTTCTTCTCACTAAGGGCCCTGGGGTTGGTCTTTCTAATCAATCATAAAATGAAGCGCGGGTGGATTGATTGACTTTCTGGCTACGAGACCTTGCCTGCCGAGGTCATCCATGAGTTCCTTTCGCCAAGGGATTTCGCGGTTCCTTTCCCGCTTAGCTTTATAGTATAATGCCAAGTTTCGGATCAATCTGTCAGGGATGGGTTAAATATTTTCTACCCACCTAAATCATGCAAACATGCTCCAAAAATAGTAAATAAAATATTAAATATGCATAGTAATTTTTCCGGACTAAAATAATATAAAGTCCCGGACCAATGGTACTATTCACAGACCGGTAAATCGCTATTACCTACACTAAAAGAAAATCAATCTGTTACATGAAGACTTACTTTGGAAAAGAGGGAGAAGCATATCGCCCGTAAATAAGCTTGCTTTACTGCCTTAGATGATACAAAGTACATTGTAGTCCTTTATCGATGGTTTTTCCTTATTGATTTTTTATCGATGTCTTCAATCCTTTCTAAACTCTTATTCGCATAAGCATTGATAAATACCTTCTCATATGTTTTTAACTATTTTTCTAAACTCATATATCTTACCTATGAGATCTCGGTGCTACTGCCCTATCATCTACCATATTTAATCATTGCTATAAGCGTGACAGCTGCTCATAAAGGTATTTGTGAAGATATTCAATGTCCCCCTTTCCTTTCCTCTTATTTCCCGGAGTAATGACGGCTTCCATGCAGCACAGCGCTTTCACTTGGGGGCATTGGGTCTAGTGTGTTCCCTAGTAGGGGAGCACGAACAAGGAGATACTAATAGTGCAAGTCCAACCAGGAACAATGGTCCACCTAGGCTCTTTTCCTTTTCTACGAACCTACAACTCTCTTTACTGAACTGAGAGGAGCAGTATTGTATTATTAACTGATGATTCCTTTTTTCCAAGTGTGTCCGATTGGTATCACTCACATAAGACTTTTCTTTTCTTTGTAGCGGGCCTGAGAATTAAATCAAATCCTATATCTGTATCTGGGAATTGACTGATGAAAGGAAATGCAAGAACAATCGAAGAGAGCTAAAGTACCTAATCTCGCACTCTTTTCCCTGTCTGCCCCTTTTCCTGCATTCTGTTTCACTTAAATCACTTTTGGTTCTACTGAATGAAAGAGAGGAAGTCCATGCCCAACTGTTTCGTGTAATGCATCTCTGTCTCTTATTTGCGTATGTCATTTGCCTTCTTCTTATGTTTCTTTCCTTTCTTACTCTTAGTACTGGTAGTAGGTTGTGGCTCCTCGTAAGGACTTTTTGTAGGCTCCTCGCATCCATCTCTCATCGATTCCCCTATGGAAGAAAGAAGAACATTCATTGGTTGGACCTTCATGTGGGAGTCTTTCTAGGAGGTGAGAGTGTGGCTCGAGTCATTACTCTCCTATTAGCCTTTTTCACGGCTGACTTACTCAATGGTTGACCGCGAGATATATCTCTATCTATTCATTCCCTTGGCATTCTTCTATATGTCACCCTTAAAAGTAGGGAGGGCCCAGGCGTAACCTTAGACACAGTTTCGCCACCAGTAATAGCTGCCACTCGAGCAGAGCTCAGGCTCGAAGGTGGTGTCACTTCCCAAACAAATGGTCAGAGTGGTGATGATAGTGATGACTTAGGCCACTCTGTGGTGCCACTAACGAAGAACAGGTCTTCCCAGGGGCACTACCTAGGGAAGAAGAGAGTCTACCCAACAGCCTCTTAGCTAGAAGAGAAGTAGGATGATGCGAGTTAATGCAAGTTTCCTAGTAGCTCAGGCAAAGAGAACTAGGCTAACTGGACTTACTCTGCTCTCATCCATTGAGATAGAGCTTACCTTTGAGGCATGCCTGCTTGCCAAAGATCCTACTTCTACAATTGGTAGGTCACCAGGTTATTCAAATAAGTTGTGTTTTCCGTGGTGTTCCCATGTTACAACTTCTGTACCAATTCGGTCAATCTGGAATGGATTGGTTAAAAATTCCATTAGGGAGCCTAGTCTTGACTCCTGCCAGTCCGTTAAACATTTGAATAAGCTCTTTTTTTACCGTATAGGTATTGTCGCATGAATGAGCCAGCTTCAACACCACCTAGACTCTTAATCATAGACAAACTTGCATTGACCTCAACATAAAAGGATGAGCCTGGTCTGTCTATTTGTACGCAGTGAAAAAGAGACCTGTGATTGAATGTTGTTTCATTCGTTGCTTTGATTGAAACTAGTTGGGATGTTTCTTCTGCCTGCGTTCTTTCTTCGTGTCTGTTCGTATCGCAAAGCGGGTCGATGCCGCCTTTTGAATTCCGTAGATAAAAGAAACTATTAGAAGGAGTAGGTGAGTGAGTGAGTCCCAGCAGCAGTGGAAAGAGCTTCAGTAGGAACTGCCGAGCCTTGCTGCTAGTCCGTGCTTACTTGCTGTCATGCTGGCAAAAGCAGGGGTTTCGGTCGGTTTTACCTACTATTGGATTTGAACCAATGACTCTCGCCGTATGAAGAAGGTTCTGCTAATAGCTATGGAAAGCCAAAGAGACTTATCTTGCAGTCTACCCCAAAAAAAGAAAAAAAAATTAGGCAAAAGGTCGGGGTGGTCTCGTTCGGGGAGGAAGAGGATAGTAACTTGCCTTGTTGTAGGAGAAACCGGTATACCTTGTCTCCAGCTTGGCGTCTTGACCATGAATCGTAACCTGCCTCCACGTTCTCAAGTAGTGCACTCTTGCTTTCATCTCCTTCTCTTGGACCACGCCTCTCCATCTCATTAAGCTTTCGGCTCTCACATGTGTTGGTCTGTAACTGTGGATTTACCACACCTATTTTTTAAGCTTTAGGATCCGTAGGGTTAAACAGGCTTCCAAAGCTTGCTCATCTTTGAAGAAAAGCAAGCTCTATACACTTTGCAGAATGGAAAGCCTTGGATAGTCTTGAAAAAGTAGTGGACGGTGCAGCCTTAATCCTTAAGCCGTTGTTGCTAAAGTAGCTTCTTAGAAAGCGAAGCAAACGAAGGCCTGCCCTAAGGTCAGCAATCAGACCTTGAACAGTAGTCCAGTTTTCCATAGGGGTAGCCTTGATAAGTGCAGTTGGGTGCTCATCAGGAGCTAGCCCGCCTATCAGCTATGCTTCGGAATCACACCCTTCTACTCCGT